TCTTGCATTTGAGAAGCTGGAACCAGGGATTTGTTTTCTTTATTCGTATTTGAATAATGTTAAGTACAAAGAATTGATTATCAAAATATTTGGGGATTAGTTCTCCAAGCTAAACATGAACTTTTTCCATTAGATGATACAAATGGCATTTACGGCAAAAAGCAGCTGAAAGTTCTTAAAGAAGCTGATATTACTTTGTTGATCTATGTGGGCTTTAAAGATTTTTAGAGTGAAATGGCTCCAAAAGCTGGGGAAGGTTTTTTTAGATAAGAGGGCTCTGGTCTTTCTCTCGTGTAGTCTAATAACAGGGTCCCTGTTGTCCTGAGCACGACCTCATGGGATTCCCCGCTCAGTCTCGTGTCTTTGAAGCCTTTTGTAGCTTCTTGGAAACCGTCAGCGTCCAGGATCAGTTAATTCGGCCGTGGTCGCTAATATTTTACAGCTGTTTACCAATATAAAAACCTCACTGCATTATCAACATCATCATCCTTGCATGTTCTGGTTCATACATGTTATTTTAAATCATCCTTCGCATAACAACTCGTAAATAATTCTGCCCTTTTTCATGTTTTATTTCAGCTGGTGGACAAAATTGGTGAGAGCAACACGATGGTATAACAAAGAGGACAGTTTCAGCGTTTCTTACCGTCTCATGGTGACTGTATATTTTGACCATTGCCATTCCAGAGCTGTGAATCCAAACATTACTCTGCACAAAAGACACACGCATCTGTGGATGTCTGACTGACTGTACATTTAATTCTATTAGAGGGAAACTGTTTCTATCTGACTGCTACTGGAAAACATTACCAAGAGATCTTTCTTTTAAGGCTGAAAGCAGTTTCTCTTTTATGTCATTCCACTCTGATATTTATGGACTGATAATCTGGGACCACTGGATTAACTCGGAGGACAGTGACAGCATCTGTGTGCCTGAACAGACACTGAGGGCCTTTTTTTTCCTCCATGAAGACTTAGTGGAATTTTATACTGTAAAAAAAATGTGCGGTTGAGCTAAATGTGGCAGAAATGTAAAAACAGTTTATATTGTCCTGGATGGAGATGTTTAACTGTAACTTTTCTAAGCGCTTGAAATAAAGTGTGCATTTTATAAATTTTGTTTTGTAGCGTAAGTAATTTAGATGTCCCAGATCTTACCTGCGTTTTGGGTAATAACAGTATGATTTGCTAAAAGAAGCCCAGCTCCATCTTCTATTCAGGGACTCTACTAGAAGAGCTTTACATGGTTCACCCATACTGGGCCTTGGTGAAGCTCCTCTAATGCACATGTCCTCTGAAACAAGCTGTTTTACCCTTTAATGCACAGGTGTTCAACTTCAGTCCTCGATGGCCGGTGTCCTGAAACTTTTCCATGTGTCCCTCTGCAGCACACCTGAATAAAATCAGTAGGTCATTAGACTTTATAGAACTTGACTGATGCTGAGGTGGCAATTCATCCATTTGATTCATGTTACAGCAGCTCATGACTAAATTAACATGGTACAATAAAAGTACTTTTATTTTCTTCCAAAAACTTATATTTACTTACATTTATTTAAACTTCAGTATGGTTAGGTGTTGCCACCTGAGCATGTAGTCAAGTCTTGCTAATGACCTACTAATTTTATTCAGGTTGTTGCAGCAGGGACATATTTAGAAGAAGGAAGAAGACGGTTGGAGACTGTATGATCGTGTGTAGTAAACTAATCTCATTGTCTTGGTTGCTTCAGAGGCAGGGACCAAGTCTGCAACCACTTGTAGTCAGTTGCTGAATTCAAAGGTGGCAATACAACAGCATTAAATGGATTCAGTCTGCTATCAGTGTACGATTGAATGTGCTCAAGTTGGCATCCACATGCAATCTGTTTGTGATAATACGGTGGTTATACTCAAAAATATATATGTAAGATTTACTAGCATAAATTTACAAATTTGTTGCCATGTATATAAACAGAAGTCTAAACTATTTAGATTCAGAGTCCAGCTGAAAACTCATTGATTTGAAACAAATTCATCCAAAAACAGTGACGGTGTTGTTACAGGACAGGGATTTAACTATATAAGCAGCTGGAAACCAGTTGAGTCCTGTTACAGAGAGGCGTGTTGCAGATGAGTTGCGCTGATTGGCACAGACTGACTTGTTTAGATTGCAGTGTGTTGGCACTCTGCGTTTTTAATTGGTCGGCATTGTAAATATTCACCAATCTGCGTGAGAGTGATTGCAGTTAGTCCGAGTGGCCCGCAATTGTCTGCAGACAGGTTGCCTCCCAACAGGCGACCTGTGCGGTCACTTTGTGATTCAAAGTGGTCACTCACTGGTTGAGGGCGCTGGACGGTCAACTTCTGATGGAAAGGTTGGTCATCAAACTGGTGTTTACTCTGTTGAGTCTTAAGCCAGCTTTATATGACAACGTCAACCACTGTGAAATGATAATACGTTCCCTTTAAGCATTCACATATCAGAGATTAGATTTATAATTCAAAACGAATTAACTGTTTATACACAGTGTGTACAGGTCATAAACACAGAGATTTATGTATGTGTGAAATTTCTAAAACAGCTGAAACAAAAATAACAAATAAATTCAAGGTCCTCATGTCATCCAATGTCCTTCATGCTTTCAGCTGATCCAGGCTTCTGCTCCTCATGTCGAACCCACATTCTCAAACTTTGATACAAATCCATCATCTTCAAGCAAATGCACTGCATTCATAATAAAAGTGGAAGAAAAACTAATGATGGGTTACTTAAATATTTTTGCTAGAGCCCTTGGTAGAACAAACACATTTAATTTAACTACACTTATATTTGCCTTTGAAATAAACACATTAATTGCCATGTTGTGATAGTAAAGGCCTAAATGTCTCTTAGAAAATGTTTGAGAGATTAAAATGTATTAGTATGTGTATATTTTTAGCTCACCTGGCTGAAGGACCAATGCACTTAAGCCACGGCAAGACTTAAGTTCATCCATAGTTCACATTAATACAGTGCTGGTCTTATTTTAGCAAAGACCACCATTCACTTTAGTTTTATTACATAGCTGCAGTTCAAAACAACAGTTGCCCCAAGGCTTTATATTAAAGAGACAAAGACCCTGCAATATTACCAAGACACTTGAACAATCATATGACTCCGCCCCCTATGAGCAAGTAGTGCTCCTCACAATGATGACCGCAATTTGGGAGAAGACCTACTGAAGTCATGGACAAATCAGTTGTAGCCAATAAAATAGATTTACAGATTACACAGGGCCCTTGAAGGACTAGAATTGTCTTATTCTGGCATCTGCACCTGCCAACTCATCACTGCTCACCGCATCAACTTCATTCATAAAATCTCACCGGAGTTGTCGTCCTGCAGCGACCCTGTGAAAATACTCTGCTGCTCGCAAGACTTAAAAGTTTGAGTGTCTCTCATGCGTCTGCGATTAATGTGCAGCGACATCTTTAACAGCACCGTCAGCTGAAGCAGTAGGTGTGAAGTGATTAAGACACCTGTCAGCGTCATCAGTTGTTTTTTTCTTACAAACGATGTGACTGCACTGACAGGGAAACATTAAACATTTAAACCAGCTGCAACCTGCAGGAGAGCACAACGCTTAAAGTAAAAGGTAAGATATCCCTCTTCTTAGTTATATATATATATAATATTTTAATTTTCTTAAATGTGAAAAAATTAAGTAAATTAAACTTTTACTTTCTAAGTCTACCTTTTACTATTTATGAGCAAAATAAAATTTGTTTATAACACAATGCAGCATAATAAATCATAAAGCTAATAAAGCACAGACAGAAAACATGTAACTATTGTCATTCAGTAGTAGTTAGTATAGTGAGGTGTTAGTACAATACAACAGCTCACAATTGTGTGTACAGGAGAAGTTTACTTGCTAAAAATACACGGGCAATTTCTTAAACCTGCTTACAGAGATTTATTATAGTGTGTTTACATTAGTAACATGTAAGAAAGTCAGAATGCTATAAATTAAAGTAAAATCAAACACTATTAATGAAAATATGCTACAAATACTGTTATTATAAATACATTTTAACTGTATAATGTACACAAACCGCAACTTACTGGTGTCCAACTGTAAATTTACTTGAAGGTAGTGGCTGTAATTTAATTTAAAGTAAATTTACTTTAATAAAAATGACAGAAAATGTAATTTACTGTAAAGTTACTGCAAACATTTTACTGTAAATTACTGGCATCTAGATGCCGATGAGGTGCTTTAAAATTTGTTTACAGTGAGTTTACATCTAAACACAGAGAAATAGATGTGTGCTGGATGACTGTAATTAAACGTATACTTCTCAGAAAAACATTTTTTCCCCTCTTGTTCTGTTGCAGAGTTCAACAATGTCTCTACTAGTCACGCTGCTTTTGCTGTCGCTGGTTTCTCAGTGTTGGACTGCTCCACAGGTTAGTCGGTATTTTTCTTTTGTCATGTTTAACCCTGATCAGCCTGAGCTGGAACAGAATTTTCTTTTCCCTTTTCAGAGGAGAAACTGGACTTCTCAGGCGATCCTATACCTGAAAGGAGCACGTAAGAACGCACTGACGGCAGCAAACAGTCACCCAGATTTTAGACGTCTATCAGATCAAAACAATATTGTGTGCTGATCTTTTACAGAGGGACGCCGCTCATTTTTGGAGCGTGCCAGAAGAGAGGAAGAAAGCACTTTTCACTCAGGTGTGTGAATACATGATGCAGCTCGAGTAGTGTAATCAGATAAACAAGTAAATATTCTGTGTAAGCTGACTAGTATTGTATTTGGCTCTTAGGAGCCTGTATTCATTTGTAATAAATCATCCTTTGGAATAAGTTTGTACTTAATATTGTGGTAACTTTTTGTTTTAGTTTGTTTTTACTCACATTTATTGTATTTGTTAGTTTTTTAATGATTTACTTGATTTTATTCATTTTATTGATCTTGTTTGTTTTACACTAACTTGTAAAGCACTATGGTCGAGCTTGTTGGTTTTAAATGTACTCTAGAAATAAGGCTGATATTGTGATTTTGAACTGGTTACATTTTCTGAAACATTTACTAATGTTCCAGAAATCAGTCATTAATGAGAGCTTCTTCTTCTTCTTCTTTTTAATCCTAGGCAGTTTTAAGAGTTTGTTAAATTTTTTAGTTTGCAGGTATTTTATTTCCATCAGAGTAAAAACTCCATGAATACCGTAAATTATTTTGCTATCATGTTTGAAGTGATGGCTTATTACCAGAGTTAGAAATCATAATAAATATTACATTTTGTTATGTTTACTTATTAATTTTGTGTTCCTTGTTTTAACCATTTAAAGCCCGAACAATGAAATAATTACCAGAAAATTCATTTTTTTTTAAAAACAGAGTGTATTGTGGAATTTATTTAATTTTAGACAATCCCCACTGATGATGTAGAAGTCTCAAAAACTGTATGTGTCAAATATGATACACGAGGCGTTAAGAGGGTGAAGTGCCACATATGTGATTTCATCAGCCTGGTCCTGGGTGTTTATTTCCGAGGGTTTCATACGGAAGAAAAAAAAGAGGAAATCTTAGTCTCCTCTTCACACAGCTATATTTGTATTTTCTTTCTCCCTTGGACGTGTTGGTTGCACAGTTTTGTTTCTTTTCCAAATACTGCCATTTCTGCTGATTCTCTGCAGGGACTCACAAGCAGAACAGCGATGGCCGAGGCTCTTCTTTGCTTTTATCCATTTTACTGGAACTCCTACAGCGAGCTGTAGAAGAAGGTGAAACCTTGGGATTCATCACCACCAACACCCTGACTTACCAGATCCTCCTGAACTGCTTTAAGATTATTTATGGCTCTTTTTTTTAATCCTCAGATGCAGGCAATCCAGATAATCACCTGGACTATCAGGAGGTGAATAGAACCCACTTGTGAACATTCATCAGAGCCCAGTTCTATGGTTTTCTGTTTCTTATGTTGCTTGTTACATTTTATTGTTATTGTTGATGTTTGTCTGCGTGTCGCAAATTTGACTTAACTTATAATAAAATGCGCAAAATAAATGAAAATGTCCGTCTGCAAGATGTTAGAGTCTGATTTATGCGTGAGTTTCTCTTCATTTGACTGTCATCATGTGCAGTTTGGTGGTGTGACGCATGGATGGATTTCCATTTACACTCATCCTTGTCAACTTATTAAAACAATTACGCCAGTCACTCATTCACACCATGAAGTGATTAACACCAGGATGACAAACTATCAGTCACTCATCATCACGCCGTCTTCACAGCGGTCACTGAGAGAGCCGTGTCGGAGGTAGACGATCGGGATCAGACAGAGTTCATCGACTAATACATTCCAGTAAAATCACCATGAGCTTCCAGCAGGGTTTTAGGATTTATTTTATTGAACCATGTTGTTAAATCATAGGCCACATGTAACACTCTGCTCTTCACTTTCAGCAAAAGAGAAAGCCCATATTCACAGATTTCTATCACGCTACATAAATAGCCAACACTGAAGAACTGAAACACTGCACTTATTGCTTTAGTCCCTGCTTCTTTTATTAGTTGCCAAAGCAACATGACACGTGGTCCCACAGTGCAACACAGCAAAGGACAAATGAGTCAGAGCATCTCACTCATTATTGGGGTCACCTTTTGGTCTCCAGCGAGCAGAAGTGCACAAACTGACCCCTACGGCTAAATCTGGCTGGATGAAACCCCTCCAAAAATCTGGGAATCTACATAGTGCAGTAGGCTGAAGGTGCAGAGGGGCAAAGCTTTCTGGTGTGACCGTGGAGTGATGCTGAAGGTCATGAGTAGTCAGGAAGGTGTAGCTATTAGCTCCCCCTGCGGGCAGGTTAGACATCCTGCAAGTCCTTCTGGATGTCCCAGAGTGTGTTAGCGCTGCCCTGCAGCTGGGCCACCTCTTCATCTGTCAGGGTCATGTTGATCACACTAGCCACACCCCCGCTGTTCAGCACGCAGGGCAGACTGAGATAGACCTCGTCACTGATCCCATACATGCCCTGTTAATGACAAAGCACAATGTCTTTATGTGGAAGGGCTTAGCGTCATAACAAAGACTTGCTATAGAGGTCTAAAGAGGTGCAGTATAGGTAAAGCAATTGTTTTTTAAATATTAAAATATGACATTACTGTGTATAGAACAGGGGTGTCGAACTCCAGGCCTCGAGGGCTGGTGTCCTGCAGGTTTTAGATATCACCCTGGGTCAACACACCTGAATCACATGATTAGTTCATTACCAGGTCTCTGGAGAACTTCAAGACATGTTGAGTAGGTCATTTGGCATTTAAATCAGCTGTGTTGGCTCAAGGACCCATCTAAAACCTGCAGGACACCAGCCCTCGAGGCCTGCAGTTCGACACCGCTGATCTAGTGCATCTACACATCATGAAATATAGTACATATGTACTCGCACAAGCTCAAAGGGGGTGGAGTTGAAATCTGAACACCCAACTGTTGATCTCAGGGTCGTGGGCTCAAGCTCCTTGAGCCACAACCCTGAGATCAACAGTCTTATGCTCTAGCGCAGGGGTGGGGAACTCCGGGCCTCAAGGACCGGTGTCCTGCATGTTTTAGATGTGTCCGTGATCCAACACAGCTGATTTAAATGGTTAAATTACCTCCTCAACATGTCTGGTAATGAGGCCTAGTAATGAACTTATCATTTGATTCATGTGTGTTGACCCAGGGTGATATCTAAAACCTGCAGGACACAGGCCCTTGAGGCCTGGAGTTCCCCACCCTTGCTCTGGTGACTGAGGTTGCCGGGCTTCAACTCTAGAGAACGTGTCGACTGAACCTGCAAATGTTCTGCGTTTTTCCTTGAAACTTGCCTTTTGGAATATATAATGATTATCCAAACAGATGATTACATCTGATGATTCTTTTTTGGCTTAGTGTTTCACTCTTACTATCAGAAAAGTGGCTTGGAAAAAAAAGATCTTTATTTAACACAACTGGTAATTACACTCACACTTTATACATTTTGGATTCAAAATTCTAGTTAAAGTTATATTTTAAAGAATACTGGGAAATTCTTTAACGAGTACATGAACATGAGCGTCTGTTACCTCCACCATGGTGGAGACGGGATGAATCCTGTTCATGTTCCTTATGAGACTCTCTGTCAGGTCGGCTACGCTGAGACCGATGGCCCAGTTGGTGTAGCCTTTCAGTTTGATCACCTCATAGGCACTAAGAGATGTAAAACAAACAAACAAACAAACAAACAAAAACATGTCTAAAGTGTCTAAAATCATGAAAATTCACCGAGATTGATTAAGACAGCGACAGGTAACAGCTAAGGTAGCGATAGGTGATACGTCTGTGTCGTGTCTAAACGGTCAGCCATTGTATTGTGACGTGGTGTTGACTCGGTAAAGATGAGATCTACACTCATCTACACAATATTTTAAACTAGCTGATGTTGATCCAGCATGAAAGAAAGAGAGACTTTTAGCCTGAAGAATTTCAGAATTGAAGAGAAAGTTTGCAGATGAGCTTCCATGTTGGCCTTAGTTTGAAATCTGACCCATGTCAGGGTTTCCGACCAATAAGGTGCAGCTCTTTGCTGACAGTGCACATGTCCAGCATTGACTGTGACTGTGTTATCAACTTGCCCATCAGTGAACAGAGATATCGGCTCACCACTAGCAGGTGAGCTTAAAAAGATCATACTTTAAAATATTGTATCCATAAACTAGATTTAAGCGACCTCCAGCCTACCTGTCCACCACCTTCTTGTGAGTCTCTTTCCAGTTCTCGTCGTCGCTGTCAGTGCCGATATCAGGGTTTAACGTCTGCAGGCTGACTCCAGCCACGTTTGTTCCACTCCACACAGGCACTGTAACACATCTGGAAACCATCAACCTTCATGCACGTACACACCATACACAGTTATTGCCTACAGCATCCTCACCACTAGTGTCTCCATGCTCTCCCAGGATCCATCCGTTGAAGCTGCTCGGGTGGATTCCCAGTTTGTCAGCCATCAGGAAACGGAAGCGTGCCGAGTCCAAGTTGGTGCCGCTGCCGATGACACGGTGCTTTGGAAGCCCGCTCAGTTTCCAGGTCACATAAGTCAGTATATCGACTGTCAGAGAGAGGGAGAGATTTATAGTGTTAAAAGGTGAATACTGCAAGATTTCATGTCTGAGGACGTAAATAAAGAAGAGCTGTGTGGTTGGCTGAACCTGGATTGGAAACAACAATGATGACGCAGTCAGGGCTGTATCTGACAATCTGGGGGACGATGTGCTTAAAGATGTTGACGTTTCTCTGAACGAGGTTCAGCCTGCTCTCCCCCTCCTGCTGACGGACTCCGGCGGTCACCACGACGATGCGGGAGTTAGCTGTAACCGAATAGTCTGAAATACAAATTTTAAAAAACAGATCAGTTTGGGTTCACATTCTCCTTCAAACCTTTGCAAAGGTGGGAAATTAAATTTAAACAGCTCCATAGTGAGCTGCACCCTGTAAATACTTTTTAAAGAGTTTTAATTAAAACTAAGGCTGCTTTATGAGATTGAGCTCCTGTGTGTTTGCATGTGTGTGTGTATGTGTATGTGTGTTTGTCTGCGATATGAACTCGCCTTTATCTGCAACTATTTTGGGGGTTTTGAGGAAGAGGCTGCCATGCTGCAGGTCCATCATCTCTCCTTTCAGCTTATCCTCCACCACATCCACCAGCGCCAGCTCA